GACTTGGACAACAACCCTGTAAAGTGTGCAGACTTTTGTCAAACTTTAAAAATCCAAAATACTGCCAAACTGGTGACGTGACCTTTCCTTTTTTCAATCTACAATTCGTATCATTCCTCCTCATTAGCCAGCTGTTTTTTTTTATTTTTCTCTTGTTGTATTTCCCAGACTGCCTTGCGAATCATGCTCGGCCGTAATAGTTCGAGAAGCCTCTGCCTACTTACCCCAGAATGCCGTGCACTTCTGACTTGGCTTAGGTGAAATGATCGAACAGTCTATTGACCCCATTTTCTTTTGATATTGTTCATATGTGTATCATGATATATATTGTTTTTGATTTATCGCCCCAATCCATAGACTTGTTTTGAAATAAAACTGTAGTATATTGTCCAAAATTGAGATTAATAAGTAAAAACTGATAATGTGAGGTTTAGTAATCTTTATTTCAGACTCAAATTGATTCTGCTCAATATGTTGTACTCATTAAAGAGTCTTTCCCTTCAAAATGCACACACACACATAAATCCCCAACGTCACACACATATCTTCCCTACGTCACACACATATCTCCTCAACGTCACACACATATCTTCCCTACGTCACACACATATCTCCTCAACGTCACACACATATCTTCCCAACGTCACACACATATCTCCTCAACGTCACACACATATCTCCCCAACGTCACACACATATCTTCCCAACGTCACACACATATCTTCCCAACGTCACACACATATCTTCCCAACGTCACACACATATTTTCCCTACGTCACACACATATCTTCCCAACGTCACACACATATCTCCTCAACGTCACACACATATCTTCCCAACGTCACACACATATCTCCCCAACGTCACACACATATCTCCTCAACGTCACACACATATCTTCCCAACGTCACACACATATCTTCCCTACGTCACACACATATCTCCTCAACGTCACACACATATCTTCCCAACGTCACACACATATCTTCCCAACGTCACACACATATCTTCCCAACGTCACACACATATCTTCCCAACGTCACACACATATCTCCCCAACGTCACACACATATCTCCCCAACGTCCCCAACACACATATCTTCCCAACGTCACACACATATCTCCCCAACGTCATACACATATCTCCCCAACGTCACACACATATCTCGCCAACGTCACACACATATCTTACCAACGTCACACACATATCTTCCCAACGTCACACACATATCTCCCCAACGTCACACACATATCTTCCCAACGTCACACACATATCTCCCCAACGTCACACACATATCTTCCCAACGTCACACACATATCTTCCCAACGTCACACACATATCTTCCCAACGTCACACACATATCTTCCCAACGTCACACACATATCTCCCCAACGTCACACACATATCTTCCTAACGTCACACACATATCTTCCCAACGTCACACACATATCTTCCCAACGTCACACACATATCTTCCCAACGTCACACACATATCTTCCCAACGTCACACACATATCTCACCAACGTCACACACATATCTCCCCAACGTCACACACATATCTTCCCAACGTCACACACATATCTCCCCAACGTCACACACATATCTCCCCAACGTCACACACATATCTTCCCAATGTCACACACATATCTTCCCAACGTCACACACATATCTCCCCAACGTCACACACATATAAGTTTTTAAGTTTTTTTAAGTTTTTATTTATATAGTAAGTAAGTAAGTTAAGTAAGTTTTCATTTATATACCGCCTTTTCACTGCAGATCTGAGTCTCAAAGCGGTTTACAATTGTTAATTTTGGGCAATTGTCTCTCACCCCACACAGAGATGGGAGCGGGGTCGCCAGTACAGGAAGCGCATGCCAGAACTATTGGACATATTTTTAGTGGTAGGGGAAACCGGAGTACCCGGAGGAAACCTACGCAGACACGGGGAGAACATGCAAACTCCACTCAGAAAGGCCCTGGTCCGACCGGGATTCGAACCCAGGACCTTCTTGCTGAGAGGCGAGAGTGCTATCCACTCAGCCACCTGTGTCCCCCATATCCACCTGTGTCCCCCACATATCTTCCTAACGTCACACACATATCTTCCCAACGTCACACACATATCTTCCCAACGTCACACACATATCTTCCCAACGTCACACACATATCTTCCCAACGTCACACACATATCTTCCCAACGTCACACACATATCTCCCCAACGTCACACACATATCTTCCTAACGTCACACACATATCTTCCCAACGTCACACACATATCTTCCCAACGTCACACACATATCTTCCCAACGTCACACACATATCTTTCCAACGTCACACACATATCTTCCCAACGTCACACACATATCTTCCCAACGTCACACACATATCTTCCCAATGTCACACACATATCTCCCCAACGTCACACACATATCTCCCCAACGTCACACCCATATCTTCCCAACGTCACACACATATCTTCCCAACGTCACACACATATCTTCCCAACGTCACACACATATCTCCCCAACGTCACACACATATCTCCCCAACGTCACACACATATCTCCCCCAACGTCACACACATATCTCCCCAACGTCACACACATATCTTCCCAACTCACACACATATCTTCCCAACGTCACACACATATCTTCCCAACGTCACACACATATCTCCCCAACGTCACACACATATCTCCCCAACGTCACACACATATCTCCCCAACGTCACACACATATCTCCCCAACGTCACACACATATCTCCCCAACTTCACCTGCATTCTAGAGTTTGCATATAGACTTTGACATGGAGAACTAGAACAAAACTATGACCAACATGACTGAAAAAGTTGCAAAATCTCGAGAAACTCATGTATGACCCATTTAGTAAAACTAACTTTTTGAATTGTAGAAAAACACATATTGACTTTGGCTTTCTGGAAAAAAAGGAATGTTGTGTTCTGTTTTTATGGCATCTTTATTGCTTTCAGATCATCACATTTATAAAAGCTACTGTCGCTGCTGAATGCTGTTTCAACTTTCAGACGACAGACCAAAGTAAACAAAAAGATAAAGCTTTGGTGTGTGTTGAGCTCCAAACTTTGTCAAAAAGAAGCCGTTCTGCTTTTCCTTTTTGTCTGCAAACAGATGAAATATGCATCGATCGCATAAACAAACAGCGACACATCCACTCCACAGAGATTACACAAACACAATCTCCATCCATAGTAAAAGGTATCATGAAATAAGGGACACAAAGACAATTCAGTTTCCTGGAGTGTTTAGTTTCAGGCGTGGAGGCAGTAATGTCCACAGGCTGCAGAGGCGATCCTTTAAAACATTATTACCACAGACATTAGGAAAACATGTGCAGCAGGATGGATGAAAATATACTGCAACTACTTTCACCAAAATACAATAGGATAATTGAATAGACTTTGGAAATGTTGCCTTGTTTAGAGTTGCATGGTCTGAATGTGACTAATTAGCCTCTTTTTTCCATTAGCCTCAAACCAAGCAGACCCTGTGTTCGACTCCTGGTCAGCTGTTGTGTGTTTTGGATCACATCAAATCTCCACATCCTGGTCAAGGTCAAGAAATAATTGGAGACAACATGTCAAAGGGTTCTCGTAATGTACCTTGTTCCTCGACAAATGAGAGAAGGCATAAATCTTTCAACAAATGAAAGTCCAGTACAGGACCATTAAGCAAGTCCTTGAAGGACCAAATGGTTCTGACCTCACAAGTGGTATTTTATGCATACCTACTTCAGCTTTCATAGTCGGTCATAATGGTCGGCATCAATCAAGTAGTCAAGGATTAAAATAACAAATCAAATTCTATGTATATGTATTTCTTTGTATAAATGAGCTCAGCCCAATAGGTTCTCATAATATTACACCTCATGCTGATGAGAGATTGCTCGGAACATCAGGTGTCTTAGGAAAGGCATTTCAGTCATTTTGGGTGAAGTGTCTGGTGTTTGTCTGGTGCATGATTGGTGGTGGTCGGGGGGCGGTGGCAGATAGTTGATTCTATTGTTGATAGTGAATGAATAATGCCATGCAAAGTGTCTTTAAGTGTTCAGAAAAGGCGCACAAAAAATGCATTAGAATTATGTATGTAATAAGAAAGAGACACAGGAAGTACATTTTCTATAGAAATAATAACACCACTACATTGCCTTATGAGTATCAACAAAATGCAACTCAACTCAGAAGAATGTTTAAAATGCTGTAAAGTGTTTGTTTCATTTCTGTGAGAGTCACCTCATAACATTCCCCAAGAGAGAGTTGAAATCCTGTCATAGCATGTCTCCTGTTCTGGCCTCTACTGCACCAAACCGTGCTATTAATGTCAGTGACATCGTGTTTATAAGAGCGACGGCCACAGACTGCGGAGATGAGCAATCCACAGTCATCCGCTGATGACTGGAATCAAAGCTGTCATTTAGATGATATACAAATATATCCTCAGTCATTTACAGATGAAGGATTCTACAGATATTATACGTACTGTACATGACCAGAGTGTAGAGTACAATGTGTGCCCTATCGTACACATGTTATTCCTTTTAATAATTGTTTTTTTCTTACAGAGATCATCTTTGTTTAAAAAATAAAATGCATTTATAATTAAGATTCAGTATATTTTCCATTTGAAGCATACGTATTATGAGCATGTCTGGATTAACTGAGTGTTTCTTCAGTATATATTCAAAAAATATTTATTTCATTCAATTATTAGGTGCATATATCTTTTCTATATACATTTTACATGAATATAGTATCTTTTTCTGTGATCTATGTTTTACTTTTGACATTCTTCCTTGTGTGAGCTACTGTCTCAGAGTCATTTCTCTTGGGGATAAAGTTTGTCGAAGTTAAAGCTAAAGTTTGTCTAACTAGATACAGATTTCTTCTCAGTGACCGATAAGAAATCCGTCTGTCAGTGTATGAGTGAGTGAGTGACCCCTGTGCTTCTTGTGCTCCAGGATTACAAGATGTCCTCCCAGAGTTCCTCCGTGGGCGGTTTGTGGAGGCCGCGCTCAGCTACGTGGCGTGTAACTCTGAGGGCGAACTGCTCTGCCGCAACAACGACTGCTGGTGCCGATGCTCCTCCCGCTTCCCAGAATGCAACTGTCCTTTCGCCGACATCAAGGTCATGGAGGAGAATTTGGGAAAGACCAAAGAGGCCTGGAACAACTTCAACCAGGAGTTCATGGACTCAGGTAGGAGCTGATGGCTTCTGTCCCTTGTCACGTATAGCTTGAGTTACTTGGTGCTTCACTTCCTATGAATACAGATTTTTATTGTTTTATCCTTTAGACTCATTTTGGTGGAATCTAATGTGATTGAAATTAATAATAGTTTTCTGCAGATAGACTCACATTTTGTTGAGAAAATGGGTGAAATATTATGAAATGCACAGGAACACGAGGGATTTTTTATTCAACCTTTATTTAACCAGGAGAGTCCCATTGAGATTAAGAACCTCGTTTTCAAGGGAGAGGCACGTTTTGACGATTCACTTAAATAAACATGTATATCAAATCTATTGTGAATGGTGTCAGCCGTTGATCAGATTTCTTCTGCGCTGTGACTGCAGTTTAGTGTAGCTCATGGGAGATTATATTTTTGCTGTTTATTTACTGGCACAGAACGATGCAGTTTGCAGCACTATATATTTTTTGGCTCGTTATCCGCTGCAGACCAAGGGAAGTCTCCAGCAGAGTAGGACACAGCATATGTGTGCAGACACCAGCATAATGTGTGGACCACAAGAAACGAAATGTAAAAAGATCCCTGCTTGTATAGTTTAGTCACGTCTTTAGATCAACTTTTTCAGACAGGATAATGAAAAAGAGAGGACCCTCACTCAGCCCAGAGCTCTCTCTTACTCTTATACAGTATGCACAACGTAACATGTTTTCTTATAAGGTGACGGCAGGTGAGGTGACAGCATGTTGAAGTTGGATTTGTTTGCAAGACTTTCACAATTGAACAAAACAAAATGTGTTATTTATGGAACAAAAGTGTATTGTGTGGGTCTTTTCCATATAAAAATATATCATATATATATATATATATAAGTATTGTCATCACTAAATAAAACACAACATAAAAGAGAAATAAAGGACATATCAACATTTGTGGCTAGATAAATAATCTCTATGGTATTTATTTTAAATGTATCTATATTATTCATCTATTATAAAAATGTATTTCATATCGCACTCGAGTGTCAGTCCTCTATCTTGGCAGAGGACGTATGGCGCGTGTCTGCTTGTGAGATGAAGCAGTATTATAGGATCCATGCGCTGGGCCTCGGTGACAGAGCTCCATCAGGTGTACAATCTCCGTCTTGTTAAATCCATTTCCCAGCAGCCTCCATCTTTTACCAAAACCATTCATCACCGCGGGCCAGGCACAGGTGTGTGATGTAATGGCGACAGTGATGCGGAAAAACTTCAGAAATTGTCCAGAGCTTTGCCTCCTCCTCCTCCTCCTCCTCCTCCTCCTCGTCCCTTGCCTTCTACTCCCTTCCTTCATTTTCTTGTCATTATACGTCGGCCTTAGCAGCGATAGTGTCTTCTGCAGCATATGCCCTGTTTAATCCACTACACCGTCTTCTCTCAAAGCGGTGGCTGTGTCGTCTCGCAATTTATTTTCAAGTTTATTGTGTGCTTCCATCTTAAAATGTGCTTAGGGAGTAACTTTACCGAAAGAGACAGCATTCACTTTAGCAAGCACTTTGACAAGCACCTGACATCTTGCTTGCTGCAGTTGCTATTTTATTTACCGCATATTAAATCTTTATAAAGGTGAATGAGGATTGGGGAGACAGCGGGATGGATCGTCGTTGTAAGGCGCTTCTTGTTCTGCTGATGTGATGGTTTTTGTCAGGAGCTTAACTTTGTCATGAAAAATTAGGCCTTGGCTTCCCATAGAGGCGTGTGTGCTAAAGCTAAAAATATCATAAAAGCCTGGTGGTTTGGAGTGTGTGCGGCGGAGTAGACAGCGGTGTACTGTAGCCTGCAGGCGCTGTCCGGGGTCCTCATCAAAGTTTGATCTAATTTTAAAAAAGCAAATACGGTGTACTATCTGCATGATCAAATCACTAAAACATTGTTGTTCACCCGTGTTCTATTACTTCGCTGAATAAATAACTGTTTTATGTCCGGTGGTGGTTTTCATACTGGTTTTCTGATGTTGATTCAAGATTTTTTATTTTGTAATGTCAATGTGAATTTAATACATCTCTTGTTAGTTATTCTTAAGGTGACATCTACCCTAAAAAGAAAACCAGGCTAAACAAGAAGGCATTTGAACTGGGCCAGTGGTTAAACAGGGCACGTCCTCAAAGAGATGTTATGGGACAAAAAGCATCTATACTGTAGGTTGTGAGCATGTTGTAGAATTCTATGGAGAGGAAGCTATTTTAGTTCCCTTGTGCTATCCTCAGGCCAAATTGACCCAAATCAGTAATAAAAAAGATACCCTTATTATGTATTTATTTTTTGTTTATGACTTTTCATGATTTTCATGTCATTTAGGCCTTTATTCTGTTGACCCTAATTTCAGGCAAGGATAGCGCAAGGGTAGAAATGTTGAAAAAGAATGTTGAACTAATGTTTTCCCATTTCATTTTCATGTATTTTCTACTGGCCACAATCCTGCATATATTGGAATATGGTCTCCACTTTTATGAGAAAATAATTACACAGTTGATACTTAGTGGATATAGTAGTAAGTAATTCATGTTAATTATATAGCCTATTTTACAGACCAAGGTCACCCAAAGCGCTGTTTTTGTGGTAGGAAAAACAGAAAGGCCCTGTTCCGACCGGGATTCAACAGTTTTTGTTTCATGTGGATTGGGCCAGGGGTTACGGAGAAATTAACTATGAACATGAAAAAAGTCTGACTTTTCTCAGGGTTAATAGGAAAGATTGTTCTGTTGCCCTCCAACACATTTTTATGTTATAGGCTGCTTGGAATGTTGTGATGTCACATGTATGCAAGCTTTCTCACAGTCGATATGTTATCTTAAAAACCTGCATTCAAAAAACGTATAAACCTGGCTCCAAAAAAACTTGCTTACAGACAATTGGCTTTGATTGTCATCGATTAAAATGCCAATGTATTTTTTTGACAATCATAAGATCCAGATTAAGTAGCAGCACATAGCACATTAGTTATGGCGGGGATTAAAACATGCTGCTTCAGGTTTAAAACCAATACAAATCCAATAGACGTGGGCTAATCATATTGACATACACTTTGTCTTCTGAAAATCCTTCACTTTGTTCTTGTGTAACATCTCACACTCATTTGCCTTGTTTCAATGGGGCTTTTGTGCTTCTGGGGCTGCTTCGGAAGTGGGACTCAATGTAGTCTGCGGTCGTGTCGGATAAATGTGCTGTTGCAAAAAGGAACAAACTGCAAGAATAGTATGTATTCATGAGAGTGTCAAAGGCAGAAAGAGGACGAGGCTAAATGATTTTCTGTGGAGGAAAACAAAACACTGACTCATGCCGTCAGATAGGATATACACGAGAGGTAAACACGAACACGAGGGGAGTCGAGAAAAGATCGCTGGATACTGTGTTGGTTTTCATTATGGGTGCAACTTTACCCAACCAGAGCTGGAACAAAAATGACCAAACCAACGCCAACATCAATTACATGTGTGAATGCACCCCAAAAATATAATTACACACATCACAAGTGACAAACTAAATATGTGTTTACCATTGTGAGGTGTTTTAGAAAGCATTCACTGCAGCAGAAAGGGATATTAAATATGTTTCTGGAGGACTTTGGAGGGTGCAGAGTATATTTGGCCTTGTTAATTCAATTCAATGTATTTCTTTATAGCCCTAAATCACAAAAGCAGTCGCCTTGGAGGACTTTACAAGGTCGTCTACTCACCAACAAAACATCAGAGAATCCATCAGTTCAAACTCAGGAAATTCTGAAAATGTACAGGAATACATACTTTCACACATTACGTTTTAAGGAAGAAAGCCTTTTTAAAGTGACTACTCTATTTTTCTGATAGTTAAATAGCAGCTGTTGGACCCCAAAAAAACAAGAAAGTATTGAAGAATTACAAAATAACAATTATGTTTTATTTATTAAAACATTTATTGAGATTGTGGTTTTGAATATGTTTAAAAAAATAAACATTCATTTATAATACATATAAGTAATAATATCAAAAGTATTGTAAGTATTCGGAATACAGGAACTACTTTTTCCTTTGGACATATTGTGTTTTCAAATAATTGATTTTTACATCTAAATCATTCATTTGTGGCCTATATAAAGCGTAACTGCAATGCCTGGGTCTGAGTCTCATTATTTGTAGCTCCACGGGCCTTTCTTCTACACCTGTTCTGAGGTGCGTCTGAGAGCAACCTGTTTTGGTGCTGTCTCTTTAAATGCAAATGAGGCGCTTTTGACCACCCCCCCATCCAGGTGACACAGGTTCAACTCCACCCCGAGCGGCCATTTTTGTAGTTTCTAAGCACAGATACAATTATCTCATAGAAACTTCTCATTACATCGCAAACATGAAGCAGGCCTTCCTCATTGACTGAAAGCAAATGTTAATTTTCATTCTTAGTCCAGTCTTATTATCGACTCTTCTCTTTTTAGCTTTGGGATCCATGCGCACAGTCTATGATGCTCACACGCCGGTTTGACAGACACGTTGACAGAAAATTTTAAATTGAATATTACTTATGCACAATTTTACAGCATTTAAAAACGTTAAGAACGTTTTTCCTTCTACGGCGCAGTTTATACAGTATGTGGAAGCAAATACTGTAGAGGATCAGGATATGCAGTTTCAGCAATAAAATAAAATGCAATAGTCTACATTACAAGAGAGTAATAAACATGTCTCAGAGTGAGGGAGGTGGACACAAACACTATTGTTTGTTACAGGGATGAGAATTGGTCAAAAAAGACTGAAATGCATATTGTCAGCCATTTGCTGGCTCTAAATCTGTTTAATTTGTTCACAACATATTACTTTTGGGCTCAAACATGAACTATTAATGCAATGCAAAATGTAGGTATCAGAGCTTTATTTAGGGTGTTTAATCGCGCTTCGAGAGGAGAGGGGAGACGCGGACTGTTTCCTGCAGCAGTGTATTTATTGGGTGCACAGATTACTCAAAGACTCAAAGGTCCTGTGCGCGTTTATGGGGTTGGGTACATG